AAAAGTGAAAATAAATAAATCTTGGAAAAAGCACTATCATCATTATCAATTTCTCACTTCTAATTTTTCCCAACAATCTGAATATTTTTAAGAACAATTAGGTAAAATTCTAGGACACTCTTTTGTTACATTTATTCTAAGTTGGATATTCTTATTTTTATACACCACAGCTTAAAACGGTCTGGATTTTACAATGTTATCATTCCTTATCTTTTTCTGAACATTCATTTCTTTGAAGCTGGAATGGTTAAAATGAGTTCAGATTTGCTGCTTGAGTTATATGGCGTCTCGGATCCCTAGTATGCAAATCTATGACTGTAAACTATAAGGGTCTGCAGCAAAAGACCTAGGAAAATATAAATGGCTTATATCCACTCACCCCGCATGCCAGATATCTTCTGGAGGTGAATACAAAACATGTGCCTACAAAAGTGAACTATTACTAAAAAGGTAGGGCCAGCAGTTTTCTGTAGAAGAGGTAGACGCTATCTTTCCATTGTGCATGGAAATATCCCCTCGTTGTGACTTCTCTGTGTATCTGAGGCCACTTGAGGGCCTCAGTGACTCCTCCTGGTAGTGACTCTCAGCAAGGTGGGAAAAGAATCTCCAGGAACAGAGGGTCTTCTCCAGGTGCCAGCTGGTGAGGCCACTAGGATGCACTCAGGAGGAAGTGTGAGCCCCAGTGCCCATCTTCCCTTGGCCAAGGCCAGGGAGACGTCCCACTTGTGCACGGCTGCAGCCTGGGGAGTTCAGCCTGCTCAGAAAATTGCCGTGAGGGTTTCTGTAGTAGACATGGTCAGGTTTGGGGATATTGACCTATCCCAGCCCCATCTTAAATCCCAGCTCAGCAGAAGCCATGACAAGAGCAATCTGGCATCACTGAACAGCCGGCTCATTTCAAACCCCATTCTCAACTCACGACCCGAATCAGCTGTGCACGCCTCAGATCTAGGCAGAAATAGGCTAAATTCTCATTTCAGAAGGGAAACCCCCACAGTTCCTGGGCTGGCAATCATGATGCATGGAAACATGAAAACTCTACGTAGTCCCAGAATTCTCACTTTGAGAAATTCAGCCATGAATTACAGTTTCTAAAGATTTCACAGAAAACATATTTTTTTTTTTAAATCAAACTTCTGACTAAATGTCTTTGCTTAATGTTAACAGTGAAACTAATTAAGACTAGTCTAACAAGATACTTAACATGAAAGTATCTAATGCTTTGTGGGCACTGATCAGCATAATGAAAATACCCTGCCCTGTGTCCAAGGTATATTTGTAAAATACACAAATGTAGTAATAAAACATTTGAAGATAGAAACACTGAAAACATGCTAAGTACCTAGTATTCCTCCCACCCCAGGAATATATATTTTTCAACAGTTAAAAGAAGTTGGTGCTGTGGATTCGTGGTTATTTTTCTTCTGCCTCTTATAAACGAATTTGCTGCATTTCTGGTGGAAGCTTAGCTGTCTGTGTTTACTAATTTAGATCTGGGTAGTTATTTCTTGAGCATCACCTAGCATCAGAACATGGCTTATTACAACTATGTTATTGTCACTTTTAAGGTATCAGCTTTGGAGAAATCCTAATTTTCACGATTAAGAACTACTAAAATCAGACAGAATGGAGAACTTGGCCACTCCAGAATGTCATCGTCAGTCCTGTGATGCTCCTTCTCTCATGTTCAACGGAAACAATGAATTCCTAACTAATGTATTCTAGGACAGGTGGAGTTCTAGAATTCTATGAGAGGATGATAGGCCTAAAGTCCCTTCAAGATTTACAGGAGACCCACAACTGGCCACTTCATTCTCATAATCTGCCACACATACGCCAGCTTTCCAGGTGAGGCAACGCAGAAACAGCAGGTGGCAAATACCTGGACACATAGTGACTGCAAACATTTTACCTTGCATCCACTCTCCTCAACGAAAAACACACAGCCTTCCAGGGGAGAAAGTAATGCACTCTGCTCTGGGAAGGATAGAGAACAGAGAAGTTTATTTTACACTATCCGTCCAAGAAAACAATCGCCATAAACCAGTGCAAAATGTGCAACAGAATCAATAAGTGTGTCTTAGCTCTGAGAGCCCAAATTGGTGATTTCTTCTCCTGTTCCTCAGTTGGGCACATGCCCCGTTCGTTAATGCTGGCTCGCATCATAGACAGAAACATTCAACCAATTTGTAGCAGGTTATTTTTTACAAATTCATACCAGAATGTGTACAAGGGACAGGGAAAACCATACCGAATGAATGATAAGTGATCAGTGCTTAAAGTAAATACAAGGGACAGCACGGGCAAGAATCCACAGTTTCAATAAATACAAGTGAACAAGCATGGGTGTGTCTTGACTGGGTGGAATTAGTCTGCGTAATAATTCAGCATCATACAAAATCTAGCAGGGCTGTTGAGCGGTGATTGGCAAAAACGTTCACAATAACTTACGCCCTTGAGCGAGTCTGCATGTAACACATTCTGTGGTTTCAAAGGTGTCAGTTCTCTGTTTTCTTCTTCCCTGGCCATCCCTCCAGGAAGGGAGGGGTGCAGCTGGGCCGGCTTGGCGGAGGCGCCCCGTGAGGAAGGACGTTTGCCCAAGAGCCAGCGGTCAGGGTCCAGTGTACTCAATACCAAGTGGCAAACTGGGACTTAATTGACGACGTCTGTGCAAAGTGCGCTTCTCTCCATTTTCCAAGAAACCAGTGTCTGTAACTCCTGCATGAAAAGCAGTGGTGGCCTCTGGGTCACTCCCTGTCACCCCAAATGCCAAACAACAAGAGCGCATCTCAGGGACTCACAAGTCGGGGAAGCTTCTGTTGTTGACTGCCTGGCACCTCATGGATGGGTAGTTTAACTGGGGCCCCCTTGTCCAAGGCAGGCTAGAACTATTGCTTGAAAACTAGAAAGAACCTAGTGAGAAAGAGATGGTGATGATGGACATGAGGGAAGTTGTCTTCTTCCTCCAAAACCTTGTGCCCCCCAACCCCAGGGGACGCCCATAAGACATGAGCGAGACGTCCTTGGCTATAAAATGTCATGCATTGTTCTCGGTGGCCTTGCCCAGTGGCTCCTCTAAAAAGCTCTACATCCACGCATACTCCAACACGTCTGGGACGCAGGCCCAGACAACACGGCAGGTGCAACCTTTGGGTCATTGATTAATCCGGAGCCCAGTGGAAGAAGATGCAAGAGAAGTTCTTGATCTCTGGAAGAAAAGGAGTAAAAAGGGAAGGCCCCCAAAAGAAAACAATCCCCCCAAATCCAGTAACCTAGGCATCATCTCCAAACCAAACAAAATCCCAAACACTCTGTAATTAACGGGCCCTCTCTTCTCTATTTCTTCAACAGTCTCAGGTCACAAATTAGGTGAGTCTTCCATCAAATAACTTAAAAAAGGAGGAGGGATTGGAATCAGTGTTGCCTGGCTCGGGCCAGTTAGCAGCCAGTTTTTCTAGAATCTCAGTCGCTGTTCCAAAATGGAGCTGGAAAAGTCACGTGGATGTTGGATGTCTTCACACGGAGGAGGCAGGAAAGGGTGGGTGGGCATGACCCTAGGATTGGGGAAGTGACGATGGGGTAGGGGAGAGCCTGGGCCACCAAAACAGGAGTGGAGGCCTGAGGACAGCACAGGAGAGACGAACGCCGTGGCCCCAGGGTCCTGTGTGACTTGGGGTGCGGCCAGGTCTCGTATTGCACAGAAAAGAAGGAGCTGAGCCTCTGCGGGCACCCAGCGGCTCAGTGGTCCCCGCACATGGGCAGGTTCACGAAGGTGAACACGTTGAACTCAGTCATGATGGAGAAGCACAGGAACACGCCATACAGGAGGAGGCACCCACAGCCCAGCTTCTTGTCCAGCTGCCACTTGTTCAGGTGGACGCCGAACACCTGCAGGGCACAGAACAGGTTCAGAGGGCACCAGGAGGAGGCAGCAGCCTCTGGGGGGCTGGTAGGGGAACCCAGGGGACCCAGGGAAGGGCTGCTGTCTGTGGGCCTCGGGCAAGGTTCTGATCCTCTTTGAGCCTGCAAAATCCACCTCTCGTCTTGGACTGTGGGAGGTGAAAACATCAATATCAGGAAGAAAGGAAGCCAGAAGCTGCTGGTTGTAGAAAAATAACTAAAACAAATGGCAGGACTCACAAGCACATCCCAGCAGCCAATCCTCTTCCATGGAGCTCCAACACCACACCCCTGTGGGCCCTTCATCTGTTCTGGGCCTTCCCCATCTTGCTCTAAGCAGACCCCTGTTCCCCTGGGCACACTGATCCCTCAGTCCTCAGGCGGCGGCGGCTGCATCTCTTCCCATGGCTGTTCTGGAGGTGAGGAAGTTGCTCCCTCCCCACAGCTCCTCACGGCTGCTTCCAGACCATTTTCCTTCTCTCCTCCCTAAAAACACTGAGCTTGGAATCTTGGTTCTTCCTACAGTTCCTCTTGGTTCCTCCTGTTGCAGCCAACAATGTAACCCCGGCCACTGCCCATCCTTGAAGCTTTCTGCCCCAGCTCTTGCCAATCTCCTCTGTACTCCTGCTGACTTTCTCTGTGATTTCAATGCCCCCGGAGGGGAGAGGGTCTTTCCAGCACCCTGCCCCATCAAGTCCTCATCCTTCATCTGGCCTCAGCCACTCACACCCACCAGCCCATGTGCTACCCAAATATAAATGAAATAAAAGTAAAACACAGCTCCACATTTCAAGTGCTACAGCCAACCGTAGCC